GCAATACGTCATTTGATTTCTTGACTGCTGCTTCCATGAGTTTGATAGTTGATCCAAGAAGAATGAAGTCCTTGACAACTTCAATTTTTTTCTCCATTGATAAGAATGTTGTTTATTGGTCCAGTTGTTACATGCCATGAAGTAAGTTCCGATTCATAGCCACCCTGTACAGGGTTTCCAAGGCTGTAAATCTTTACAGGAGCAGAGAGCCTCATCTTTCTTCCACGGAACAGCTGGTAGTTTCAAACTGCTGACCTTGAGATTCGCAGACCGGTTTAACCACCATGCTACCAAAGCTCCTTTATTGGTCCAAGGGGGAGGATTTTTTATTTTCTTTACATTGAGATGCAAACCATAGTGAAGGCTGTGATCTTTGATCTTCATCAGTAAATATTTAAGTCCTTTTCACTTTCAGCAAACAATATTATATCACCTGAATATTGCAGGCTGTTAATGAGTCTTCCTCCAATCCTGATGCCATGTTTTTTTTTTTTTCATGTAACCCAGCTTCTCAGATTATTTGTGCATCATACAGGTTGAATAAGTATGGTGAAAGAATACAACCCTGTCGCACACCTCTCTTAATTTTGAACCCACATTCTGTACGAACAATTGCCTCTTGGTCTACATACAGATTCTTCATGAGCACAATTGATTGTTCAGGAATACTCATACTTCGCAATGTTGTTCATAGCTTGTCATGATCCACACAATCAAAAGACTTTGTGTAGTCAATAAAGCATAGGTAAACATCTTTCTGATACTCTCTGCTTTCAGCCAAGATACATTGGACATCAGCAATGATATCCCTTGTTCCACGGCCTCTTCTGAATCTGGCTTGAACCTCTGGAAGTTCTCTGTCAATGTATGGTTGTAGTCGTTTCTCTATTACCTTTAGCAAAACTTTACTCGTATGGAATATCAAAGATATTGTCCAATGATTTCCGCATTCCGTTGGGTCACCTCTCTTTTGGAATGGGCATGAATATGGATCTCTTCCAATCAGTCGGCCAGATAGTTATCTTCCAAATTTCTTGGCAGAGATGAGTGAGTGCCTCCTGTGCCACCTCACTTTCATGAAAGATTTCAATTTTTAGTTCATTAATTCTTGGTGCCTTGTTCTTTGCCAATTCCGTCAATGCACTTTGGACTTCCTCCCTGAGTATCATTGGCTCTTGATCATATGCTGTCTCTGAATATGTTCTTTTAGACGATGACTGCAACACCATTCCTCTTCAATTTGTCATTTCTGGCATAGTAAACCATGTGGTTGTCAGATTCAAAATGGCCAATACTAGACCATTTCAGCTTACTCTAATACCTAAGATATCGATGTTTATGTGTTCCATTTCATTTTTGACAATTTCCAATTTTCCTTGATCCATACTTCGTACATTCCATGTTCTGGATGTTTACAGCTGTTTCTCTTCATTTAGAGTTGTGCCCTATTAGCCAATGAAGGTCCCTAGGGGTTTACTCCCACCTGCTTTACTCCATTTGTGTCATCACGGTCAACTCTACTTTGAGGAGGCAGCTCTTCTTCAGTCACATTTTGAGTGCCTTCCAACCTGAGGGGCTCATTTTCCGGCACTATATCTGATGGTGCTTTTCCGCTATTCATAAGGTTTTCAGTGACTAAATATTCGGAAGTAGTTCGTCACTCCTTCTTCCTAGTCTGTCTTCATCTGGAAGCTCATCTGAAACCTGTCCACCACGGATGACCCTGCTGGTATTTAAAATACCAGTGGTATAGCTTTCAGAATCACAGCAACTCATAAGCCACCACAGTAGGACAGACAAACTGAAAGACGTGTGGTGGTCTTTGATCCTTAGGCCTAGCCTTTCCTTCCCTTCCAAGGATGCCTGAATATTGAACCATAACTGAGACCCTAGACACATCTGCATGCTTCAGTTTCTCCATTTGTTACCAGAAGACACTGCACAAAATAATCCCCAGCTAGTGAAATGATAGTCATGAAAATACTTTAAATTTTTGAGAAGCACAAATCAAGTCATCTCATGTTATTAATCCTTCCTCCCCTCAATGCTTCAAACAACAGAGAAACTATCTTAGAAAATGTTTATATTTTAATCTTTGACTTTTGTTTTCTGTCTTTTGCCTTAAAACTAGGGAGCCTTGGTGGCATAGTGGGTTATGGGTTGAGCTGTTAAATTTACAGTCAGTGAGTGGTTCGAATCCACCAGCCGCTCCACAGGAGAAAGATGCGTCTTCCAGATGCTGTAGAGATTGACTGCCTCAGAAACCCTACACAGGATGGCACTCTCAGTTGGGACACAGCACACAGCAAAAACAATGACATACCTAGGCTAGATATAGCCAGAGTCCTAGTGTGGGACTGTAAGATAGGCACTGGACTGTTATCTGCAAGGTTGGCAGTTCAGACCCACCACCCACTCCTCGGAAACCCTATACGGGGTGACTGTAATTTGGAACAGACTCCAGGGCACTTAACTAACATAGACTGTGGGGCTCTTGTGTGGTGCTGTAGGATAAACACTGAACTGTTAACAATAAGATCAGCGGTTCAAACCCACCAGCTGCCTCTCAGAAACCTTGCACAGAGTCTCTGAGTCAGAACTGACTGAACTGCACTTAACAACAACACACCTAGGCAGTAGTTTTTTGTCTGCTTGCTTTAAAAATGCAGTGATCTAAAGGAGAAGCACTGTGAAATGCCATAGCTTGCATCTGTGGTTGGAATCTGGCTCTTTATTTGATGGTATTTGAAACTAGGCTTCATTGCAGGAAATGCAAGCAATGTCTACTGTGGGCATGCATTATCTCTTATGGGAATGCTATACTACTTTTTCATTGGAGCTGCTACTGTAAATGAAGATTTTGAACAATGAACTTTACAAAAACTATCGGAATGTGTCTCAAGTGTTCTATAATGGAATGCTTGTTTTTGATTCTGGGGCTGACAATAAAGAACTTCACACAAGAAAGAGCTGTTGTTTGTTAATGTGCAACGCCTATTGGTTTGATGAAAAGATGATTTATAGTCTGCGACTGGTGCCCTGAGTAAAGTGTTTTTGAAGCCTTTCTTTCAATTGTCCTTGACCTTCAAACCACAATCAACTGCCCTCTATACCCCAACATCTCAAATTAGCTAACTTGGCTACCTTACATGTTCACACCCACCACAAAGTACTAGCTTATGAAAACACACACACAAAAATGCCTTGGTTTTCATGACAGCCAGGTCAACGTTCACCATTATCGAGCTTGCCTATATTAAAGCCTTTTAGCTGGTGGTGGAGAGAAAGTTCCTGGGTAGTGTAAATAGTTAACAGGCTTGCCTGCTAATTAAAAGGCTAAGGTTTGAATTCACCCAGAGGCACCTCAGAAGGAAGGTCTGGTGATCAACTTCCAAAAAACTAGTTATTGGAAACCCCCTGGAGCATAATTCAAATTAGGCACACATGGAATTGCCACCAGTCAGAATCAACTAGTTGGAATGGTTTTGTTTTATTTTGGTTTGAGCATTTGCTGTCATGGTTTAGATTCATTTGCCCTTACCTTGAGCACAGACTTGGAGAAACAATCCTTTTCCCTTAAGATTCCAGGATATTACCTGTTTTAGACTGGGGCAGCGCCAAACACATGGTTCTTATGTGTCCTCATTTAGAAGGGAGGCTTGTTGGGGAGATTCCCTCTCCTGGAAGCTGCTAAGATGGGAACCAACTTGTGTTTTGTATTATGTGCCAATTTGATTTTCTTTATTTCCTGGAAAGTTTCACTTAGATCTGTTGCATATAAACTAATGAAACTCTATAGCAATTTTAGCATATTAGAAAGGACTTTAGTTTCCAAATCTCTTACCTCTCTGTATTTCAGAGTTGTATAGTTATGTTTAAACTGCTTTATTTTAAAAATCATTTAAACAGTTTTAAGTTTTTTATGTCTATTTCCATAACTTGGAAAACTCATCAAGTTCTATAAAACTTTGGATAATATTAGTCTCTGAAAAAGCCTTATTCATTAATAACTATGATGGAAAAGTATTGAAGCCTGGCCTGCTGGCCACTAAATTAACTACTATTTTAAAGAACTTAAAGGTGTGGGATTTAACAAGATTAGATCTACAATAATATATGAAGAAATTTCATGAATCATACATAGAATGACTCTTTTTTTAAAAACTTACAACAAAAACTGAAGACATTTGCAACTTATTAAAGACTTCTGTTAAGTATATTTCCATGGAATTTTTGGACAGAAATGTTATTGGTACAATAACATTCCAAGATTTATGGATGTCAAATATTGTATCTGCTGTCTTCTGCTTCAAATAATTTTCTGTTAATTTTAGTCATGCATCTTTTTTTTTTTTTTTTCCCCCTCCCATATTAGCTTTTGGAAATGCCAAAACTGTGAGGAATGACAACTCCTCTAGATTTGTAAGTATTTGTGTAAGCATAAGCGTTAACACTAATATTTAGCCCATGTATGTTTAAACAACCAGTAGATGTTTAATGTTTTCTAATACACACATTTTCAAAAGAAGAACTTCATCTCTATTGAAATGCTGGAAGTGTTATAAGGATTATGGTTTCTTTTTTGGAATTTTACTTCTTAATTTTTCTTGGACCCAGGCCTTTTTTTTTTCTTTTCTTTTTTGATTAGCTCTTTTTACCATAGATCCTATGAATGGTAATTTAAATTAAGCTATTTAGAATTTTCTTATTAGTGTTGAGTGTATTCGACCCCACTTTTCACACATCTGAGTTTTGGTATTTGGAAACTATAATTGAAAAATTAGTAAAGTAAAACAATTAGAATTTTTGGTGTCAAATTTGGGCACTCTACATGTTTAGTCATTTTTTTCTGTGGGACTGAAAACGATGGGGTGGATTTGAAAACTTTATAGCAGTAAAATTAATAAGCTTGGCATCTGATGGTAGGATGTAGGACTGAGAATAGTAAAACTGGAAGCTAACTAATGTTTTAAGCCTGGTCAAGTTGAACAGTGTTCATGTGCTAATAGAAACCAGGCTTGGTCCACCTCCCTGGTCTCCTGTGACATCTCTGGCATTCATCCTGCACATCTGCTATTGGACCTTCTGAGTATGAATGAGTTTTCAAGAGTCTGGTCTTACAAGGACACACTCACTGCCAGGAAAGAGCTGGGGGAAATGTGTGGAATATAATGATGGTATTTTGACATCAGACCCTTTTTTCTATAGTTTCACCAATTTTATAAATTTTTGTAATAGAAAGTCATTTGTAATGAGCAATATTTTCACCACAAATGACAGACATGCATTCCTTGTGTGTGCCACATGGAGCCATGTTTGATAACCTTCCCGCCTTTCTCCTCTCCTTCTATAGTCCCGTTACTTTTTCCTCATTAAGGCAAGAACATGGCCAAAAGTGGAGATACTTTTGATAGTTTAGAAAGTGAAAGACGAAGTTTCTAATTCTAAAACTGAATTTTTTTCCAGCATAATTTTCATTGTCCCTTAGATAGTTAAAGTGGATTTGATCCATGCCTTTTCCTGTTTTGATAACATGGCTAATCTCATTATATAAATAGAATTCAAAGTGGAGTGTGAGCAGGAAAGTAATTCCAATAGATCAAGAGGTTCTAGTGAATAGAGATTGTATTTTAGCTGTTTGCAAACTATGCACTTATATCCATATGTTTTTTTTTTTTTAATGATTGCAAATATACTTAGTATATAGACCATGAAAATGCAGAACAATGCTTAAAGGATCATTACTACTTAGTAATATTTGAAATCTCCGGAAGAACTTGGCAGGTGCTTTGGCATATTAAGTAACTTCAGAAGAATCCTATTATAGCATGTGTATTAGGATATGAGAATAATACCTGATTATAGGCAAACTCCTTTCATGCTCAGTTGTGAGTAATTTCTCGGCCTTGTACTCTGTAAATTTAACCAATACTATGACGTGGCTATGTAAATTTAACCAATACTATGACTTGGCTCTGGTAGCGTAGTGGTTACGAATCGGGCTGCGAACCTTAAGGTCAGCGGTTCGAAACTACCAGCTGCTCCGCGGGAGAAAGATGAGGCTTTCTACTCCCATAAAGATTTACACCCTCGGAAACCCTGTACAGGGTCGCTATGGGTCGGAACCGACTCGATGGCACTTAACAACAACAACAACAATGACTTGGCTAAACCTAGATTATAATTTTATAGTAGGATTCTACTGTCTTTAAATTTTCTACTGTATATAATACTAAATTTAAATACATAGAGTCCTACTATAAAATTGGAACCTAGGTTTAGCCAAATCATATTATTTTTCAAGTTACAGATTACTGTATATAATGGAGTCCTGGTGTGGCGTTGTGGGATAATGCACTGGACCGCAAGATCAGTAGTTCAGTAGTTCAGATTCACCACCTGCTCCTTGGAAACTCTATTCCAGGTCGCTGTGAGTGGGAATGGACACTAAGGCACTTAACAACAACAATCACTGTATATAATGATGGTTTCTAAATTTACTCCTCAGAGAATGGCAGGTTCTTCCACTATGTTTGACTGATCAAGACCCACAATGAACTTCTTGATCCTGGGACATCTGATAGCTGCTACCATATCACAGTTAAAGTTGCCCACCATACTGGGCATCTTCCACGAGTATGCTGGGGAGGTGCCTCATAGTGCCACTACCCCCCCCCCCCCCCAACCCAAACAGCTCTAGTTTGACTGGTTTGACATACTGAGCATCTATTAAGAAAGGAACCCACTGCTTTTGAAAAACGATGAAGCTTTGAAAAATCAGTGTGCTCAACCAAAGCTTTCTGAGAGGGAGGTATGAAGGAGCTTCAAAAAGTTTGTGGAAAAATTCCATCATCTTTGAATTCCATTTCCCCACAAACTTTCTGAAACCTCCTTGTGTACGTTGAACATCTATATGTCCAAAGAGCTGAGCTAGGCCCTGGCGAGTTAGAAGTAAGAAGAGAACCTATGAGGTTAGGGACATTACATTCAGTCAGGATAAAACAAAAATACAAAATGTATTCAATTGTTTATCATCTGTGTTTGAGTGCCCGCCTGGTTTCCCTCCATCCCCTCTGAGGGCCCCCAGTCCTTTCTCCAACAGCAGTTGGAGTGACCTTTACAAATTTAAGGTCCCTCTTGCATGTGGGAAACAACGCAAGCTCAGCTCATTCCCTGCAGACCCCCCCAGCTCTTGCTCACTCTACCTCTGCCACAGGGGCATGCTTCATGGTTGTTCCCTCTGTATGCTGCACACATGTCGCTTCTAGGTCTTTCCTGGGCCACTTTGTGACTTCAGCCTGTTTTGGTTATCTTCAGACACTCATTAGTCTGTGGAATTATTGTATTCTGTTCTCTTGTTTATGTGTCGGCTGACTATGGCGAAATACCACAGGAGCAGGTGTCTTGTTAACTGTGGTCACCCAGTGGTTAGGACAATGCTGACATCATACATAACTCTCAGAAAATATTTACTGATGAACAAATACCTGTGTTTAAGAAGACTGTAAACTAGTAAGGGAAACAGCATGTTTAAAAATAATTATAACACAACATCTCAAATAGTAAGTTAGCAGTTAAATACATGAAGTATTCAGATGAAACCTTACCGTTGTCCAGAAAAGAGAAGCTGGAGGAGTGTGGGGTGGGGCCAGTCCTGAGTGGCCTGTAAGATGTAAATGTGCCAAAATCAAGCCGGAGGAACTGGCATCACAGCGTGAGGATGCCTGAGGAGAGAAGCCAGAGGGGACCAGCATTTGCCAGAATTAATGAATAGAGCTCAGGTGTGGGAATAGAAGTAACTGGAAAGCTGAGTCAAGGCCAAAACTTGGGAAGTCTCAGGTTCAGGGGCTCATATTTTATTTTGTAAGCCCTGTGGTTATTTCTGAGTGGACGAGTGACATTGTCAGAAACAAGCCTTTAGGAGAGTAATTGGCATGTGGCTGAACCAGTAAAAGTGCCAATCCGGAAGTAACTGCATTCTCATTGCTGCCCAGTAGTCTGCTTATCCCTGGTCAACTTCCGTTTCTCTTCTCTATAGTGTTTATTCTATGCTCCTCAATCCTCCTTCCCTTTACTCTCAGCTGACTGACTGTATTACCCTTACTGCACAGAAGTGACAAACATAGCAGCAACAATGCCAGCTCTTGTACAGAATGAGTTCTGCTTCCTGATGCCTCACCTGTACATATACCTGTGCACACAGCCTTCTACCCCACTGGAGGACTTTCCACTTGTGTCCACACAGCCTCCTGTACCACAGGAGGACTCTCCACTCCTGTGCACAAGCCTTGTGTCCCACGTGAGGACTCTCCACTCCTGTACACACAGCCTCCTTTCCCACAGGAGGACTCTCCACTCCTGTGCACAAGCCTTGTGTCCCACGTGAGGACTCTCCACTCCTGTACACACAGCCTCCTTTCCCACAGGAGGACTCTCCACTCATGTACATACAGCCTCGTTTCCCATGGGAGGACTCTCCACTCAGGTACACAAGCCTCCTGCCCCACTGGAGGACCCTCTACTCCTGGCTTGCTTTCATCCCTTCACCTATTCTCAAGACCCTGTTACTGCCTCTGCCTGGGGACCGCCTTTTATGTAAATGATCCCCTTCTTATGTGACCTGCCTCTAAATCTTCTAAAGTTCCCATTCCTCCCTGATTTCAAAATTGCTTTGCTCCACCATCATGGAGGTCATCACTGGCCACTCAGTTGCCCAGACCACCTTCCTAGACTTTAACAACTTGGCCTCTCTCCTCTATTACCTCTCACATCCAACCAGACCCTGTTTTTGTGACTCTTTGAGCCCTCTCAGATCAGTTTACTTTACCTTGCTCCTCCTAGGCCAGGTGGTATTGACTGTTAACTGAAAGATCTCCAGTTAGAATCCACCAGCCACTCCATGGGAGAAAGATCTGCTCCTGCAAATGAGACTAGAGAACCCTATGGGGGCAGTTCTACACTGTAACCGGGGGTTGATCAGCACCTACCAACAGCAATTAAATCCATTATCATTTCTCCCTAATTATTGTGGTCACTTCCTATTAGATATGCTTGGTCTTGCTTCTCTGCAGTGGGTTCTCTGAACCCAGAGTGACCTTGTAAACAGGCAAGTATGACCAGGGCATCCTATTTAAGAAACTTCAGTAGCATCGCATTGCTTTTAGGAGAATGTCACAAAGTCATGCTGTGACCCAGCTCTCTCTCTCCAGCCACATTCCTCCACTCACTGTCTTATCAGATGCCAGGTCTTATGCCTACTCCTTCCCTCTCTCCCACCTCCTTCCCTGGCTGACCTCCAGGTATTTTGGGTTTAAGTCGAGATGGACTTCTTGAGGAAATCCTTCCTGCCCAACCATGGCTTCCTCTTCTTAGCACCATGGCCCACTGTCAGATGTACTTTTTCACCATAATGCTTATTTACCACACTAGACTGTCAGCCCCTATGGGGCAGGAGTGGATCTTCTTTCCTTTGTGCCAACTTCAGTATCAGACATTTACTGAATGCATAGACTGACAAGGGCAGGAGACATTTCACAGTGAAAAAGGAGAGGGCAAGGGAGGAAGCATGAGCTAATCGGAAGTTATGAATTGCATTGCATTGTTTACTGAGCACCCTCTGATCATGTCTCTTCTCCCTTCAACATTATTTTGAAAGTTTAAAGAGTCAACAATTCTTAGGGAGAATTATTATAAACCATCTAGCTGACTGTTGACTGAAGTGGTGGTGGTGGTTATATGCCACAGAGTCAGTCAGACTCATAGTGACCCTGTACTAGGTTTCCGCGGCTGTAAATCTTTATGGGAACAGAAAGCCTCATCTTTCTGCTGAGGAACGACTGGTTAATTTGAACTGCTGACCTTTTGATTGGCAGCCCAGTTCATAATCCACTATGTAACCAGGGCTCCTTGTGGACTAAGGTAGGAAATGAAACAAACTAAAGATTTCAATGATTAGATCAGCACACTGGTTTCCAAAGAAGAAACAGTTGTTAATACACACACACACAAAGAAATTTTCAATAATTATTTTTTTTTAGTGTTTTATTGTGAATTATATGATAGTTTACATGGGAGAACATTAGTTTTACATTCATTCTATTGTATATCCTTTCGTTGCCATGGTTGCAATCCCCTGCATGCATCATTAACTAACCAAAGGGTATACCCTGCAAGCCTGCCCCCTACACTATCCCCACAACCCCCCAGTCTTCAGCACACAGTCGCTCTCCCTCTCTGGATCTAAAGTCCCCAGCTGCTCCATCGCTCCACATCATCATCTGTGTCACTGCTTCTCTGGGTAGGGTCCTGCTCTTGACTCTTCTCCGTTAATGGTCCTAGGGACCTCTGCTCCTAGACTGGAAAGTTAATCACTCCCTTCCTTGCTATAAAATGCCTACGTTTACATTTTCAACCCTCACAATCAGTCCTGATAACAATTATTCACTATTGTATCACAAGAGACCCATCTGCATTTTATTTCATCAGCTCCGCCTAGACAGATTGGATATTACTAACTAGAGATTCTGCCTTCCTCCAGGCCTCCTGGCTCTAGGTTCCCTCTTGAAAGCTTGTAAGTCAGTCACTTCTTGCCTTTGTAGCCCCTCCCCCCTCCCCATTTTGGGTAGCCAGTGTCCAAGTTGCCCATCCCTGTCTACTCTGTCCACAAACTTTTTGAAGCCCCCCATACATGTTCTTCACAAGTTTGAAATCCTTATCTGAAATGGGAAAGCTTCAGGATGGCTGAGATCTGTTCTTAAATAATGCTATGTTAGCTGTGAGCTAATGGTTTATTTAGTATGCACAGTGTATGGAGGTATGTTTTGTTTTGGTTGTGTAAGCTGTGCCATTCTTATTGACATTGAAACAAATGCTATTTGTGAAAAAGATAATGCTATGTGATTTTTTTTTGTTTTTTTTTTGGATGAATTTGAGAACTTACAGAGTCTTTCTTTGGCAGGGCAAATACATGGATATTGAATTTGACTTTAAAGGTGATCCACTAGGAGGAGTGATAAGTAACTGTGAGTATTTTACTTTATCTGTTTAAAGAATGTTAGAATAGTAGAACACGTATTTATAATTGAACATTTTAGATACTGTGGGAGTTAGGTTTTATAAGAAACTATTTCCTTTTCTTGTACTTAGACTATTAACCTTTGCATTTCAGAGTAATTTATTATATGATGTAGTTTATAAATTTTCAAAACAATTACTTAAAATCTTTATTGCTAAGATGAACTTTCAGAAGTCTGCTAAAGTGTAATAAGTGTCAGTACAACTATATTTTACAATCTTTAGGTCTTTAGGCTGGTCCAAGTATAAGAAAGCAGTTTGGGGGTCTGTTTGTTTGGCAAATGTAAGATGATGATTCCTGAATCGTCATGTGCTTTGAGGGCCACAGGACTGGATTTTTGTTCCCCCCGATCTTCTCCCTCTTCAGTGCTTATTGGGTCTGTTAGAGCAGTGGTCTGCCTTCTTCTTCCAGTGGTATTTTATGCCAAATCCATAGAGATGAAATGAGTACAAGGAGACCTAGTCTTTTACCCCCAGATGACCCTTCAGAAATTATTAGGGATCCCTATGTCCCAGAGGGTTGTCATATGGAAATTCATGCTTTAAGTAATTTGAGCAAATTGTGCAGCTTTTTTTCCCTGTCATCCCTTTAACTGTTCAATCACAATTCAGAGAACTTCTAGGACAAGAGTTTCCTCATCTTTGAAACAATGGGTTGAATTGGATGAATTCTATGCTTCAGCCTATTTCCAGCATTTTCTGGTTTTTAAAAACAATTTAATTCTCTATTTTAGTTTGCCTGACTTCACACTTTTTGTGCTGTGCTAGTTTTGTAGGGATATATAATTGTTAGAAAAAAAGTCTTGAAGGGAAAGTTTTAATATGCAGCTAAATTGGATAGGATAGTGCTACTGAGGTTAATGGTTTTTTGTATGCCAAACATGGAAACAAAAGTATTTGTGCAAATCAAAAGCTAATAATGGTAATACCTGCCCAACTTGTTAGGTAAGCTCCTTTCAAATAATGAAAGCTGATGAGAGGAAGAATGTGTTTTGTTTTGTTTTGTTTATCAGTGAAGGGTAGTTTTATAGTTCTTTTTATTGTAGAATTTGCAGCTAAACATTCTAAAATAATTCACGCAGTAGTACTCTTGTGTATGCTAGGAAAATAATTAGGGATGATTTTATTATAAGTATTAGACAATAATTTAAACTTTAAATTTTGAAGTTTAAGTTTTCCACAGAAATGTCTTCCTGTCCTCTACTTGTTACAGTATCCATGGAGAATAAATATTAAACACACAGTTCTTTTCCAACGGAGATTAATATATCCTCATGAATGGATTTCTTATGGTGTCTGTTAACATTTGTTTCCACAATGAAATTATATTAAAATGTGTGGTAGTGACAACACCCTGGTATCTCCTAGTATCCTCTGCTCTGGAGAGGAAAGGAATACATTAGTGGTCAGAGGAGGAAATTTCATCCTGTGGAGACTGACTCATGAGTGTTGCTGCCTGCTGGCTTATGAGCATGTAAAGCAATGGATAAACCCACTCTTCTCTAACAGCTGCTTTAAAAAAAGTTAGCTTCTGATAACCCAGAACAAAAATACCTAGTGAAACCCATGCATTGAAATTAGCTAGTTTTATAAAAATAGAGAATTATTCCAGAAATGTCTTGAAAAGAAAGTTTTCATATGAAAACAAATTGAATGGAATAGCATTATTATTTAGGTTAAATGTTTGTCTATGTCAAATATGGGAGCATATTTGTCACTGTTACTGCTATGAAATGGGCAAGAGGTAGCCCAAGCTGGTTGTATATCCTGGAAGTAGAGATGAAAACCTAGTAACTCATCCTTTTTAACAGAGCTATGCTAGAAACTTAGTATTGAACTCACTTGGAATCTAACCTCCAAGGTTAGTGTTTTGAGCAGAGAGGTGATGCTAAAACAGAAAATGGCAACCATTGGCTTCTATAGAGAGAGTGTGGAAGCACATCCAGATGTTTGACTCATGCAAGATACTATTTCCCCGACTTTGTTAATGTATGTTGGTCTCTTAGTATTTATACTTGTATAGTTGAGAATTTGGGATCTAATGTTATGAACAAGAAATACTAGGAAATCTGGTACTGTTATGAATAGTTTCAGGGCTTCTAAAAGAACAACACAGAGAAATACGCACCATAACAAACACCTTATGAATTCAAGTGCACGTATACCTGTGTAAACTGTAAAAGCAAGAGATGGCTGTCCTTTTCACAGTAGTGGATCAGGATGTTGGATCACTGATCTTTAGTGGATCAGGAGCCTATTGTAGTACCTGGCATACAGTGGTGGTTATGTGACGTGGAGTCGGTTCCAACTCATAGCGACCCTGTATAGGGTTTCTGAGGCTGGAAATATTTGCAGGAGCAGAAAGTCTCATTTTTTTCCTGCGGAACCACTGTAGTTTCAAACTGCTGACCTTGAGATTAGCAGCCAGACCTGTAACCACTCTGCTACAAGGCTTGCAGTTGTTGTTCAGTGCTGTTGAGTTGGTTCTGACCCATAGCGACCCTGTATAGGGTTTCCAAGGAGCGGCTGGTGAGCTTGAACTGCTGACCTACAATTCAAATGGACTTTGCAGTCCAGTGCATTAGAGACTTACAGTCGTTGTTGTTAAGTGCCGTCGAGTGGATTCCGACTCATAGTGACCATGTATAGGGTTTCCAAGGAGCAGCTGGTGAGCTTGAACTGCCAACCTTGCAGTTCAAACGGCTTTGCAGTCTGGCTCATTAACCCACAGTGCCACCCCAGTAGGCAATCAGTCAATGCACAGGGGCAGATGCTTCATTAATTGGAGTATACAGATGAGTCTACTTCAAATCCTGGTATGGTGCTGCTGTAGAATAAGCACTGGACTGCTAACACCAAGGTTGGCAGTCTAAGTGCACCAGCTGTCCTTGGAAATCTATTCAGGGTTGCTATGAGTTGGTACCAACTTGATGGCACTTAACAACAACAACAATGAGCCTATCCTTGTAATTTTTATTGCTTTGTCAGTGTGGTTTCTAATGTCCAAATGAAAAATTCGCTTTCTTTGTTTTTGAAATAGGGATAATAATTCTGATTTTATTAGGTTGTGGTGAGGTTTAAACTATGTGCTAACATCTAAGTACTTGTTGTGGGTTAGGTGTTAGGTCAGACTGGTAACTCCAGTGTGGGTGGTTCAAACCCACCACTCACATCTCCAGAGAAAAATGAAGCTGCCCACTCTGTTAAAGATTTACAGTCTCGGAATCCTTATATAGTGTTGTTGCTATGAGTTGACATCAACTCGACAACACATAGCAATGATGAAACAATTGTAAGGCCGTTGATGGAGGCCTGGTATGGAGCTGCAGATCAACTCTGGACTGCTCATTTCAAGCCTGTGGTTGGAAACCTTGTTACAGGGTTGCTGTGAGTTGGAACTGACTCGACAGCATTTAACAACAACATGAGTCCTGTTGGAGCGGTGCTTTAAGCATTCACTAACTGAAAGGTCGGCGGTTTGAACCCTGCAGCTGCGCTGTGGGAGAAAGGTGAAGCAGTCTGATTCTGTAAAGATTAATAACCTGAAAGCGCTGTGAAGCGGTTGTATTCTGTCCTGTACTAAATTGGAATTGAGATTACGGCTGAGGGTTTGGTTCTCTTTTTTAAAAGCACTCGTCTTGGCACATAGTAAGCATGATGATATGATAAATTTGTGCTTTTTTCATTATTAAGTACTTAGTATGCACTCACTGGACTCTTGGGGTAGTGCTGAAGGATCAGCACTGAACTTCAAACCACAAGTCGGAAGTTCAAACCCACCAGCTACTCAGAAACACTATACAGGGTCAGTGGCACTTAACAGTGCCATGTACTTATTTGTTTCTTACCTCTAGCTCCCAACCAAGTAGATATTCTCTAAAGACAGAGCCTTAGCAAAACTATGACAAAGCTGATACTTTCAAGTTTGATTAAAAGCAACAACTTGGACGGTTTCTTTTTTTAAGATATAAGATTAAACATTAAACAAAAGAAGCGTTATCGTTCTATCTAAGCTTTCCTGTTATGTCCAAAAAGTAACATGATACTGTCTCCCCAGTCACGGCTTGCCCTCTTAGTCCTTTTGTGGCAGGCGTAAGCAATGTACGTTTCACTTCCTTCACACCTTGCTCTTAGGGAACTTGTCCTGTGACATGCACAGAAGTACCTGTGTACTGTGGTTTCGCTGGTAATTAGTTAAAATGAAGACCGTCCATAAATGATGGTCTGGTTCTCTCTGTTAATAGAGGGGATTGGTGGGGTTCTGATTTCAGGTTTCTCTTCTACTTACCGATTTACTTTTCACTTTAGAATGCCTTAATGAGTTCATTCCTTCCCTTGTAATTTCAATTTATATTGCTTTTGAAGGGAGTATGACTGTACTGAAATACCTAGAGAGAATAAATTCTTTTCTGGACTAAATCTTGATATTTTGGTCTCCTATGCTTTTCTTGATTAAATCTTGTAGCAGAGACACAGTCAGTAGCCACACAAGTGCTTAAAGCAGAGCAGAAAGTTGGGCCAGTTTTCGCTTTGGCTTAATTCAGGGACACTTTTAAGTAAATTAAAATGGTGAGTCTTTCTAGTGCTTTGAATTTATGTTCCATACTTTTAGTAATTGTTTGATGTGACTTCACGCCATTAGATTACATGAAAAGTAGAATGGGGAATGGTTTTAAGCTGTAGTCATTATTTTGGGACGTACATTTTCCCTGATAGCATTTCTACCTGGAAACTCATAACTTATGAGAAAAGTCATTAAAAAAAACGGTCACAGGAGGCTCTAGGGTAATAGAGTAAATGTTTTAGGTGGTAAAAACTTCAACGGCTGTGTCATAAAAGGTTTCTCATGTGTGATAGAGTCCTTTAGGTGCAGTCAGAGATTGCATAAAGAACAGCGTTTTCCAGTGTTTACAGACATCGCGTGTGTTTCTTGGCTGGAAAATTATAACCCATATTATGGTACCCTTGTCATCTGAAGCTTTGAGTTCTGGCTCTCTTTCTTACTAACAGTGTGGCATGAGCCTCGTTTTCTTCTCTATAAAATAGGGATTTTAAAACCAACCTCAGGATTATGTTCAGGGTTGAGTAAGATAACAAATGAAAAGCACCGAATGCATAATGGAAGGTCAGTAAAAGTTCTCTTTCTGTTTCCCCTTTGCAATTTTCCTTTAAACACAGATGGTATTGTATTTCATATTTGACTATGATAGTCATCACTGATCGTATCAGTGTGTGTGGTTTGAGGAGTGCATTTGCTCAGCATACTTTTCCATATTATGCACAAATGAATATTATTCTTTTAACTCAGAGGTGGTTGTTACCTGCTGAATCGTATAATCATGAAGTGTCCTCACTCTCTGTTGTCAACAAGGTTTTGTTGAAAAGGGACCGAACTTTAGGTTCCTAGTGTCTTATAGTATGCCACACTCACATGGTTTGAAAGTATTATTCTGTATGTAGAAGTACCATAGATGTGATTGGAATGAGATTATTGAATATTGACCACCAAACAATAATTTACCATCATTAAAGCTCCATTATGAAATGAGAAGGAGTCTCTGATGGCACAAACATTTAACCACTTAGTCTCTGGCCTAAAAGTTGGTGGTTCGAACCCAACTAGAGATTCCATGGGAGAAAGATGTGGCCATCTGCTCCCTTAAAGATAAAAGTCTTAGAAGCCCCATGGAGCAGTTCTAGCAGATCTACTCACTCACCTGGTTGCTATGAGTTGAAATTGACTCAAGGATACCTAACAACAGCATGAAGGTTGCAGACAGTTATTGAGCTCTACTTCTTTTTCATATTAAAAAAAAATGAAGTAGTGAGGTGTGGCAAGGCTCTTGTGTTGTTAGATAATGTCACATTTTACACTCACAACAGCCTCATGTGACACAGTAGAACTACTCCATAGAGTTTTCTAGGGAGTCCTGGTGTGGCGCTGTGGGTTAACGCGCTGTACTACAAAGTCGTTTGAACCTCAAGGTCAGCGGTTCAAGTTTCACCAGCCGCTCCTCTGTCGCTATGGGTTGGAACCAACTCAATGGCACTTAAGAACAACAACAACAATCTTTGTGGAAGCAGATTGCCAAGTCTCTTTTCCAAGGATTCTGTGTGAATTCAAAATGCCAACCTTTAGCAGCCACACACTAACTGGTATACCAGCAGGACTTTCCAGGCAAGATTCTAAGGACTATGGAAACAGCCTTGGGGTTATGGGCTTTGACAAGTGAAGAACACATGGTCACTCTACCTCCCCACCCCCTACCGCCACCTCCACATTTCCTCCTCATTCAAGGATCTTGGCATCCCACCTAGAAAAGAGTTACTGCTGCTGGTCTGAGTGGGGAGCACATGTGGCTCTTAATAGACCAAGAGGAAGAAAGTCTTCATGTTTGCAATTGGTGCTGGGCTCATTCCCAAGGAGCTCTTGGCAAGTAGTAGATGAGCAGTAAGTGAAGTGATTGAAGAAATTTGTGCATGAATGGAGGAAATAAACTGTAGCAATTGTGTATATTTTTCATGCAGTCGAGTTGCTGTATTTAAGTCTTGATAAGTTTCCTATTAGAATTAGTTTCTCTGCAAAGAATTGACCTACTCCATGATGGTTCTTTATATGCACCAGATAGCAACAGTTAAGCAGTTCTTGGTGGTAGTTATGTGCTGTGGAGTGGGTTCTGACTCATGGTGAACCCTGTAGAGTTTCCGAGGTTGTAAATCTTTACGGGAGCAGAAAGCCTCATCTTTCTCCTTGAGGAACAGCTGGTAGTTTCGAACTGCTGACCAATTCGTAACCACTACACTACCAGATCACCTTTCGGAGTCCTGGTGTGGCATTGTGGGTTAATGCGGCAGAATGCAAAGCAGTTTGAACTGCAAGGTCAGTGGTTCAAGCTCACAAGCTGCTCCTTGGAAACCCTATACAGGGTTGCTATGGGTCGGAACCAACTCAACAGCACTTACCAACAACAACTGATGGTTCTTCCTTCTAAAACTGTTATTTTTTTAAGAACCCATGGTCACATGATAACTGAAATCATGCTGCATTGGAAAAAAAATATTGATATAAAATTCACTTAACATAAACCATTTTAAAGCAACCAGTTCTATGGCATTTAATGCATCCACACAGCTGTTCAACCATCAGTCCATTAGTCTATTTCTATCCTTAATTAACTATTCTAATTTTACTTTCATTGATTGAAATGTTCAATACTTAGTGATGAATATTCCACACTCTCCTTTTTTGTTTGATCTCCCATATGTTTTTCTAATTTCTGGTTTCTTTCTTTTTTCTAAGTCTACCTTAGATTCCATTTGTGGTTTAAGAACACTAGCAGTCTCCTAAGTCGATTGTGAGCTGGAGATGAAAATGAAAGTCCTGTAGCATCCTACACTGAACAATTCTAACATTTCTGTACTTTTTGCAGTTGACTTAATTTTGTGCTTTCAAAAACTATCTCTTCATTCCTACAAACAATCTCACTTAGTCTACGTCTTTTTGTTCATTGAACTACACCCTTTAACTCTACTGAGGCTCCTCTCCAAATGGCCTATGGATTCCAGAGATAAAAATGAAAAAGTTCAGTGACCATTCATAGAAAGATTACAGGTCTTTCACCCCCTTTCCCCTTGTGTTAATAGTATTTAAATTTCAAGCTACTTGGAAATCAGATGTGTCTGTTCTCTAGAATTAGTGCTCAACAGGAAGATCACTGATTTGGAATTGTATCGCTGAAGTTAGTCTTTTGTAGAGTCCAGAGCCTTCTTTTGTAATATTGGTTAGTGATAATCAGGATTCCTGGCAAAATATTCTCTGCCTTGTACTCTTCTGTCTTCTATATATTGGTGCAGTTACTCCTGTTTGGTTCGTTCATCTGTCTGTGCATCCATTTATCTGTCTTTTCATTTGTTGATAAAACTTTGAAAATTTGATACATCCACAAATTTAAGGAATGAAAAGTTCTCTGGACTCACTGAATGTAGGCTGTCAGATACTTCCAAATTGCATGAGATGCGGACCACTGTACAGGAAATCTGGTTTCCTTATTTCTGGTGGTGTGATGTGTGGTTATAACGTGGAATCAGCATGTGGGCCAGATGGTCAGATTTCACCTTCTAGTTACACCAATGATAGCTGAGTTACTTCAACTCTTGACCTGTCAGTTTTATCATCTGTAAAATAACACTTTTTAAAATGACTGGAAGGATTTAATGAGATGTTTGTAAGCATTTAGCATGTTATCAGATCTCAAAAAGGTTCAGTTTTTTAAATCATTAAAATTATTAAGTGCATCCACTTAATAGGAGCTCTGGGAGCGTAGTGGTTACAAATCGGGCTGCGAATCGCAAGGTCAGCAATTTTTAAAATCATTAAAATTATTAAGTGCATCCATAACCAAATAGGAGCTCTGGTATCGTAGTGGTTACGAATCGGGCTGCGAAACGCAAGGTCAGCAGTTTGAAACTACCAGCTGCTCCGTGGGAGAAAGATGAAGCTTCCTGCTCCCGTAAAGATTTACAGCCTCGGAAACCCTGTTCAGGGTCACTATGAGTCAGAACCTATTCCACAGCATATAACAACAACATAACCAAACAGCTGAATTTCATTTCTGAGAGTTTTAATGTTATACTTTGAAAATTGAGCATCATCTTACAACCTGTAAAACCAAGGGAATTTGTTAAATACTATATTTCTTTAATCAGCTTGTTGAATGTACCTTATTTTGCACCTTTGCAGTTGAAAAAGAACCTGGTTTATTTTGGTGATTTTAGTTAGAATTGCCCTTTTTCCTAAAAGAAGAGCAGTATTATTAGTAATAAAAGAGCAGTAATATTGCTTTATTAATAGAAAATAGAAAATGAAAAAAATGAGGGGAAAAGGAAGTGAAAAACACCCTCTAGTGTTATTTGATTGAGGAGCCCTGGTGGTGTGCTTAGCTGCCAGCCTGAAGGTCAGCAGTTGGAGCCGACCAGCAACTCTACAGGAGAAAGATGTGACAATCTGCCTGCATCAAGGTTCACAGCCTTGGAAAACCTGTGGGCAGTTCTCCTCGGTCCTCTAGGTCATTAGCAGTCAGAATCTACTCGATGCCAAAGGATTTGGGTTTGATTCTTTTCCTTTGTTAGATCTTTTAGAAAAATCTCGGGTTGTGAAGCAGCCAAGAGGTGAAAGAAACTTCCATGTGTTCTATCAGCTGCTCTCAGGTGCCTCCGAAGAACTCCTCAGTAAGTCTTGTGTACTAATTTTGAGGACCACTGCATTTTCCAAAGTATTTTCTTTATAAGTGTTCTATGTGCTTTTTTCCTTCTTCCTTAAGATTATTCCAGGACTCTAGTTAAACTGAAGAAATGGGTGTGTTTGCTTCTAGCACATCGCAGCATTTATCTTATAGCATTTATGTGCAGTGTACGTCTGTGATGGACTAAGAGCGCTACATTGTAGGGAGGAACTAAACATACTTTTAAGCAAAAAGGAGTCCAGTAGAGAAATGGAAACCATAGAGAGCAGTAGAAGAATGCAAGTATAGGAAGATAAATTGCTCAATGAAAATGTAAAAGTAGTGGGGGAACCATCTGCAACTGATACCAAAGAGAACAATTGGACCTTTGGATATTTTAGAGAATTAATATACATCCATAAGGGTAGTCGCCAGTAGCTGCTACTAAGTGATGAAGAGTTTTGCACGTACAGATCAAATAGGAAGAGCTATGGAAAGTCCACAACATTTGGGAAAAAGTCAACCTCGCTAATAATCAAGAAATACAAATTAAAGCAATATTGAAGTAGCCACTATAAATATATTTGCAAAAATTATTTAAAAATACAAAATTGGCAGACTTATTGGGCAGTGGTCTACTCAAATATTATAGGTGCCACTTCTAAGTAAGGACGTCTTTCTGGGGGACTAATTGACAATCCAGAACAAGAGTACTAAAATGATCACATCTGGTCAACCACTTTTCAGAACACATGTTATCAAAATCATTTAAAAGAATATATAATATCTATACCTATATATCTATTTATTACATATGAATGTATATGCAATAACAGTTTACACTGAGGCATTTATAACTGTGGTGCTGTAAGATAAACACTGGACTGCTAACCACAAGGTTGGCAGTTCAAACCTACCAGCTGCTCCATGGGAGAAGGAAGAGCCTAGAGCCTTCTGTTCCTGTAAAGATTTACATTCTTGGAAACCCTATATAGCGTAGTTCTGAGTTGGAATCAACTTGATGGCGGTGTGTTTGGTTTGATGTTAATTACTAAAAACTGAAGACAATCCAATGCCCAATTGTGGTTGTATAGCTAGGCAGACATTATAGTCATAATAAAATGGTTTAGTAAAGATATTTTATATTATGAAAATACAGTAAAAAGCCTTATTCAATAAAAATATATGTATAAAGCAGAGTTTGAACTATGTAATGGTGATTAAGGCAATTTTAGAAAAATGCTGCTATTATTGTCAATTTTTGTTCTGTCGATTCAATACATAATGTGAGAGTCATTTTATCTGATGTGCTAAACGGATGTGATTAGATTTATTGAAGGAATTTACTAATTTTTATATCGGATCCAATAGGTAAACTGAAACTTGAGAGGGATTTCAGCAGGTACAATTATTTGAGTCTGGACTCCGCCAAAGTTAATGGAGTGGATGATGCAGCAAATTTCAGAACCGTTCGGGTAAGATGTAATGCTTTGATTCTACTTTAAAATGGGAGAACATTAGCTTTACATTCATCCTATCGTATATCGTTTCATTGCTATGGTTATAGTCCCCTCTATGCATCATCAAGCAACCAAAGGGTATACCCTGCAAGCCTGCCCCCTGGTCATCAGCACACAGCCCCTCTCCCTCTCTGGGTCTAGAGTCCCCCGCTGCTCCATCTCTCCATGTCATCGTCTTTGCCTCCATCTACGGTATCACTGCTTCTCTTGAGTAGAGTCCCGCTCTCTCCACTTCTTCTCCATTGATGGTTCCAGGGACCTCCGCCGCTCCTAGACTGCTAAGTCAACCACTCCCCTCCTTTTGCTACAAAGCATCTACCTTTACATTTCCAACCCTCACAATCAGTTCTGATAACAATTATTCACTATTGGATCACAAGAGACCTATCCACATTTCCTTTCATCAGCCCCACCCAGACAGATTGGATACTACTCAGTGGAGATTCTCCCTTCCACCACACCCTCTGGATCTAGGCTTCCTCTTCAAAGGCAAAGTATATTTTGAAGGCTGTGTTTTACTCAAAGTTTCCACCTTTTATCAAAAGAAGCTTCTGTATTATACTATCAGATTTAAAAAGAGACTCTTTTTGTTGGAGAGGGTGTGAAAGTAAGGAGTTAGGATTAGAACTGTGGCTAGGTCTAGGCTAGGCCGAGGACTTCATTTAATGTCAGGGTTATGGTAGGAGTAAGACTTGGTCTAGTTTTAGGGTTACAGATAGGTTTATTTTTATTATTTATTTAATATTTTTCTTGGAATCGATTTGATTTCCTCTTCATTTGGAAGTTCTGTAACTACATTATTCCCCCTTTTTCTTTATGTATTTTTTATTTTTGAGAACTGGTATGTCTGGATCCCTATTTTCATTCTTACAGATTTACTTTACTTTGAATACTTCCATATCTGGATTCTGGCATAACACTATAGGATAAGCAGTGAACTGTGAACTGACAGATGGGCAATGTAAACCTACCAGCCACTCCTTGGAAACCCTATACAGGGTCACTATGAGTTGGAACTAAGTTGACAGCAATTACCAAAAACATATCTGGGTTAAGTTCTAGGTGATATTGTCATGAATGTTAGTCTCAGGTTGTTCTGCTGTTGTTGTTGGCTCTCTGTCCAAAGAACTTCCTTTAGTAATTTGTTATAAGGTTTACCTGGTTTTTACAAATTCTTCTTATTTGTTTATTTGGAAATGTCCTAATTTCCCTGTCATCTTGGTGTTGCAAGATAATGAACTAGACCACAAGGTCAGTTTGAACTGCAAGGCTGTCGGTTCAAACCCACCAGCCACTCCTTGGAAACCCATAGGATCTCTATGGGTCAGAACTGACTCAACAGTACTTAAAAACAACAACAACAGCAACATTTGATAGATAATTTTGCTGGGTATATGATAACTGGTTGGCAATTTTTTTTTCTTTCAGAGTTTTATATATTTCCCATTGTCTTCTCACCGGCATAGTTTCTGCTGATGAATCAGAGCTTAGTCGTATTAGTTCTCTTTTTTACATAACTTTTGGTTTTTCCCAAAATATTCTCAAGATTTTGTCCTTGCCTTTAGTTTTGAGAAGTTTGCTTATAATATGTCTTGGTGATTTTCTTTTGAGGCCTATCCACAAAAAAAGAAATGAACTCCAGTCATTTAACTTCTTGAATGGCCAATTTCTCATCTTTCATGATGTTAGGGAAGTTTTTTTCCAGCAACTTTTGGACAATTTTATGGTTTTTTTTGGTGGTTGTTGTTTTTTTTTTCTTTTTTGGTGTCTTCCTGTTCTGAAAACCTGATCACATATAAATTATTCTTCTTGAATTGTTTTTGTTAAGGTTTGTTAAATGTATACTCATACACTTAACACCCGTCTCCTGGTGGATGTGACAGAGACTGTAAGTGTGAATGAAGTTTTCTGTTCACTTTTTGTGTACTATAGCGTGGATTCACATGACTCCTGAAGCATGGGTGGTATGTATAGACCCCAGGCAGAGCCAAAGCTGTGCGGGACAGGCTGCCACTGCTCACTGGGTTGGCTAGGGCAGAGACTAGACACGTCTCCAGCTATGTGGAGAGCACAGGAACAAAGGAGAACTCCATCCCTCTTGCTATAAACCATGTCCTGTGCCGGAAGGCTGCTGTATCAACAAGCCACTAGTTAAAGTTCCACTCCACACCTGCTGACAACGCTGCTCTTTTTCTTCTCTCTTGCTGCTCCTGTTCAACTTTCTCTTCCAGTGGGCACTCAGTCCACCTCTTTGTCCTGTCTTCTGAAGCTCAGGGTTCCGGCATCGCCATCTGTATCCCATGTCTTTGTTGCAGAGGATCTGTCCAGTACATCTGCCTACTTGTCACATTGTCTGGGAAGTGAGATGGGCTCTTAACGTTGTATTTAAATTCCTAATGTTTTCATAGCCAAAGATCAGTAATTTCCAAGTGTGAAAACTGCCCAGAGATCATTAATCAAAGTTGTTTTTGATACAGAAAGGCATGTTTTTATGCATTTTAGAAAAATCATGTATAAACCAGAATGATTAGCATTTCACATTAATTAGAAAAGAAAATTACTTAACGTAGTACTCTTATTTTTGCTGTTTACGTGTCACTTTAGAAATCACTTCTATTATGATATGATTTGATATCTGAGATTTCCTTTCAATGACACAGCTGGTGGGAATGAGGTGGGGGTTGAATTATGAATAAAACAAGACTGACATCAGTTAATTGCTGACACTGCATGAAAGAGATGAGGGACTTCTTGCTTGTTCTTTCTACTTATATATATGTTTGAAATTTTTCTTATTCCTATTGTAAGAATGTAGCATATAATCACTAAAAAGAAAACATCAGCTGTTTTTTGAAAAGCAAACATCTCTTAGAATATGATTTTGTCTTAGTCTTGAGTTCAGTTCTTTAACCATGTTGCCTGGCATATCACTGTTGTTGTTAGGTGCCATCAAGTCAGTTATGACTCATAGCAACTCTGTGCACAACAGAACCAAACACTGCCTGGTCCTGCGCCATGCTTAACAGTTGTTGTGACGTTTGAGCCCGTTACTGCTCTCACTGTGTCAATCCATCTCCTTGAAAGTCTTCCTCTTTTTCTCTGACACCCCCTGTTTTACCAAGCATGATGTCCTTCTCCCGGGATTGGCCCCCTTCTGATTATATGTCTGAAGTATGAGAGACAAAGTCTTACCATCCAGGCTTCTACATAGCATTCTGGCTGCACTTCTTCCAAGACAGATTACTTTGTTCTTTGGGCAGTCTGTGGTACTTTAAAAATCCTCCCCAAAAAAAAAAATCAAAAGCCTCCAAACCTCCCCGCCTTTCCCTAATTGGTGGCCAAACTTCAAAAGCAATTGAAAAGAATGAAAAAAACAAGGGGAAGAACAGGGGCACCTTAGCCCTCAGACTGGTACCTTTGTTCTTGGATACTTTAAGGAGGTCTTTTGCAGCAGATTTGCCTAATGCAATATGTCCTCTGATATCTTCACTGTTGCTTCCATGAATGTTGATTGTGAATCCAAGCAATATAACATGTTTGACAACTTCAGTCATATTATTGGCATGCAATAGAGGTTTGTGAATGAATGAATACTTCCTGTTTTTGTGGTGCCTTGGCCTAGAGCACTTGGTCTTTGCAAACCTTAATATTCTCATGAAAATAAAAGAGGAGTTCTTTGAAAGCTTTTATTTTTGGTAACAGACCCTCAGTTTTTAAAAATAACTACATTTCATATCTGTAAGTGTTGGGCCATTCAAGACAGCTGCTCCATGGCAGAAAGATGAGGTTGTCTGATCCCCTAAAGATTTATTCTCTGAATCACTTAGGAGCAGCTTTACTCAATCCTAGAGGGCTGCTGTGAATCAGAATGGACTCATTGACAGTGAGCTTGGGCTTGGTTTCTTTCTATCTGTCCATCTAGGTACACATACATATATGCAAATACAGAAGGGTAAGTAAAAATATATTGCTATAAAATAATAATAAATATGAAGCTACTGTTTATGGTGTTTCCATCTCTCTAATCCTTCTGTGGCAGTCCTGATGTGGAGCTGTGTCAGACAGACTGCAAAGTCATTTGAACTACAATGTTGGTAGTTCAAGCTCACCAGCTGCTCTTCGGAAACCCTATACGGGGTCGCTATGGGTTGGAATCGACTCGACCACACTTAACAGCAGCAACAATCCTTCTGTGAAGAATTCTACACTCTGAATTACATCACATCAAAACAGTAGCTTTGACATCCTCTAGAGAATCAATCATTTTTCTTTTAAATGTTCTTTGAGTTTTGGGAACAAAAAGAAGTCTGAAAGGGCAAAATCAGGACTATAAGGTGGATTGAGTAAGGTTTTGTAGGACAGTACTTGGTACCCTCAAAGAATGAAACAGCTGTGTTGGAATAATGGGGATACAAAACTTCCTTTGTGTAGATTCCCTGACCTCTTTCTCACCAATTGCAGTTTTTAAAATTTTTTCCTAAAAGTTCTCCCAAATAAACCTCCACAATTGTCCTATGAGAATATCTACCACGGTTTTCCCTTTGGAGTCCTCAAAAATAGTTACCATAACCTTCTGAACTGAGCTTTCCACCTTTAATTTAACTGACTCAACAGATCCCCTTGGAAGTCACTGTTTCAAGTGGACCTTTTTTCTTCTTGTAGGCACCTTAATATAACCCTGGTAGTGTAGTGGATTATAAACTGGGCTGCTAACTGAAAGGTCAGCAGTTCGAATCTACCAATCGCTCTCCAGGAGAAAGATGAGGTTTTCTGTTCATGGAAAGATTTACAGCCTCAGAAACCCTTTACAGGGTTGCTATGAGTTGGAATTGACTCGACGGCACTTGACCACCAACCATCACCACCACTGAACAGTTACACGTTTCAACACATTTTATTTGGAATAAGCCCATGTATGTACGAACTGGAACCCAAGGAGCCTTACTTCTTGACTTAATCTCATATTTTGAACTGCTGTAGTTGATGTAGGGATGTGGACACATCTCTGCTCTCAGGCTGCTTTTCTCCATCTTCCTCCCTGTATGTCTTACTCTCTCCCACATCATGCAAAGTACCCCTGAACAAGACTTAACCCCATAATGATTCTTTAGCAGGTCTGTTATCAATTTTACTCTTTTGAAAGTTGTTTTTTAAAGGTATTTTCCCCTAGAAATATACCTGTAACATGGTTCATTAAAATAATTGAAAATGTACAGGAAGAAACAGATGCTTTTCTTTTTTCCAGAACGCCATGCAGATCGTGGGCTTTATGGATCATGAAGCCGAATCTGTCTTAGAGGTGGTAGCCGCGGTGCTGAAACTAGGGAACATTGAGTTCAAGCCTGAGTCTCGAGTGAATGGCTTAGATGAAAGCAAAATCAAAGATAAAAATGGTAAGTCAGTAGAGAATCAACTTTGTGTAGCAAACTTGTTTAGAATCCTTGCCAAGTTCTTTATCTATAAAATGAAACTTGTGTTTTCATTGATTTGAAAAAGCTTTTGAGTAAAACTAACAGAAATATAATTATGGCTGTTTCAAGTCTTTTGATTTGAACATGATGATCTAAAGCAAATGGTTAGAGAAACCAACCCAAGCTTTAAAAGTGGAAACATTACCTGCACATATTTTGTATTCCTCTTTACAGAGTTAAAAGAAATTTGTGAGCTGACCAGTATTGATCAATCCGTACTAGAGCGAGCATTCAGTTTCCGAACAGTTGAAGCCAAGCAGGAGAAAGTCTCAACGACATTGAACGTGGCTCAGGTGGGTAAAACATAGCATCCGTAAGTGAATAAAATTTTCAGTTTGTGTGCTAAATTTGTCTTAATAGTGTATTTCAGGCATGGGTAAATTAAACCAAATAAAGTGCCTGCTCTCATGGCGTTTAATGTTCTAACAGGGAGAATTAGACAATAAATAGCAGGAGTATTTATTTTATTAAGTAAATTATACAGCAAGTTAGTAGGTGTAATTGCAGAGGACAGAGAAGAACTAGAGCTGAGTAAGACAGAGCCATAGAGATGGGGGTGAGGAAAGGAGACTCCAAGTGAGGTGGGATAGGATCGGAAGTTGTGGAACAGAAGAGTCTCACTTGTATTCCAAAGGGTTGTCTTAGCAATGTCTGAAGAAAAGATTACAGAGAGGGAGGCTAAATGGAAGAGACAATGCACTTACCCAAGCGAGAGATGATAGTGGTTTGAACCAGGTGGTAGGTGAGTTGCTAAAAGTCTGAATTGGCTTGATGGCAATGGGTCTTGAACCAGGTAATAGCAGTTGAGTCAGTGAGAAGTGGTCAGATTATGGATATACTTTGCATGTAGAAGTTGCAGGCTATTCTGATGGCTTGGATATTTGATACGAGAAAAAAAGAAGCGCGATAACTCCAATATTTTTGCTAGGCAACTGCAAAATGTCTTCTTCGTTTGATGATTTGGAGAATACAGTGGGAGAAGCTAATTTATCAGGAGGTGAAATATGAATTTGATTTTGGTCATTTGAAGTTAAACATGTGAATTGGAATTCAAGTAGAGATGTTGAATGAGATGTTTAAGTCAGAAGTTCAGGAAGTCCTTGCTGGAGATGTAAAATTGATAGTCATCAGTATTTAAAACTAATGGCAACCCCATGTGTTGAAGAGTAGAACTACATTCCATAGATTTTCATGTCTTTTCAAGGGCATACATTTGCTGACTATGACTTGGACAAATCCAACAGGTAGAGAGAAGATAAGTAAAGGAAACTGGGTAGGAGGAAGTAGTATAGATAAGAGGGGGGAAAAAAAAACCCAAAATATAATGATATCCCAGAAGCAACGTGAAGAAAGACTTCCAAGAAAGAGTAAGCCATAGTTAAAGGTAACTTGGTCAAGGAAAATGAGATCTGAAAGTTGATCATTTGATTAAAAGCTGTGGAGGTCATTGGTGACATTGATAAAAGAGTTATTTGGTGGCTCTCACAGATTTAGTACCAACTGGGAGCAGAGGGAAAGTTTTTTGTTTTTAAAAAAGACCAGCTGAGATGTGGAGCTTTTAGAGAGAGGAAAATTGTGAAATATACATCTAGGAGATTGGGTGGAGTAAACAGATTTAACGGCTACTTGAGATGAATAAGTATAACTTTAATAACTTTAATGTAAATGTGCCAATGAGATAATTGCAGGCATAGTGATGAGGGAAATACATTCCAAATACTGGTGGGGGATGGGAGAGCGAGTTATGTGATGGGTTCTTTTAAGGATGATTTTGGCTGTTAATGGTGTATGGTAGTTATGGAGGTAAAGTAGAAACATAATCACTAATGAGATATAATGGTACCTTGAAAAAGATGACTCTATGAAGATGGAAGACTGGGCAACACTGTTCTGTTATATATAAAGGTTGTCATGAGTTAGACAACGAACCTTCACTGTCCTCAACACTGGTCAGTATCGGCTTTCTAAGACACAAATCTGAGCTACTTTCTTCTCTCTCAAAACAAGTCAGTGACCACACCCCTTTCCAGGGACTGTTCCCTCCTGATATACAAAGTACAGGAGATGGAGTCACACCATCCTCACGTCTAAGAAACATTCTCGCTGTACTTCTTCTGAGGCAGACTTGTTCATTGATCCGACAGCCATTGTTCATTGATCCAAGCCAATAGTATATTCAGTATTCTTTGATATATTTCAAAGCCATAGATTCTTCTGTCCATTGTATACATTGTCCAGATTTCACATGTTTACAAGGTGGTTGAAAATGCCATAGCTTGGGTCAGGTGCACCTTAGTCCTCCAAGTGATGTATTTGCTTTAATACTTTAAAGAGGTCTTTTGCAGCACATTTGTCTAATGCAATTTGTTGTTTGATTTCTTGAATGTTGCTTCCATGGGCATTGATTGTGGATCCAAGTAAAAGAAAATCCTTGACAAATTCAATCTTTTCTCCATTTGTCATGATGTTACTTATTGATGCAGTTGTCAGAAGTTTTGTTCTATGCAATTTGTTGAAGATGTAATCTATGTTGAAAGCTGTTGTTTAGCCTTAATCATTTGCAAGATGTTTTGATGAAACTGGATTTCTTTCTGCTAGTGTAAACTAATATATCTTACTAATAAAAGAATATGCCTACATATCTTTAGCTTTCTTTGAACACTGGCTTTTTATTGGCTATGGAAAATCTGAAACTATGTGTATGTAAATTTCCTTTGTAGCAATTCTTTTATATCTGTAGCTATAGTCTGTCAATCCTTGTAAATTACTGTTTCTGCCATCTTGTCTGTCTAGGTCATTCTTACTTATTCAAAGTCCAATGGTCAGCAGCTGACTTAAAGAAGCACCCCTTGTAGAGTGCCTACTCATACAAGCCCCCATGTAGGCCATTAGTAGGCATAGAAGGAATTAAGGAAGATTTCGTGGAGAATTTGGTTTCTGAGTCAGTCTTGAAGGACTTAGGTGTATAAAGAATTGGGAAAGGGGCATTTCAAAAGGAGAAAAGAGTGAGAATAACCAGGTTCATGGTATATATGAGGAAAAGGATTGGTCCACTTAGTTAGAAGAAAAAGGGTACAAAGGAATGTGGCCGAAAAGGTTACATTTGGAGTTGAAGAGCAATACCGGTCTTCAGGATTGTCTAGAGGGCCCAGAAGGTTTGGGTCAGAAAGTCTTGGGGAGGAGCCAAATAATTTCAACAAATCAGAGGAGATGCTGCTGCTCTGTCGTCATTTTCAATAGCGCATGAGAGTTAAGTATGAAATGACGTAATGAACAGTGTGTTGTAGTTCCTTTAGGAATACTTACATGTATTTTTCTTTCTTGTTTTTATTCTTGCTTTTTAACTATCTACTATGCAAACTGGGCCCGTGCTTTATAAGTTTATTGAATCACCTTGCATCTAGTAGGTAAAAATTTTCCACATTTTAAAAAACCTTTGGTTTGAAAACATTTGAGTTTTAGTCCTCAGTTAGTCAGGTATTTAAGTCTGGTTTTTAAATGTAGTTAGTGTTCAGAGTATCTGGTTCTACTGATCTTCTTATCTTGTTGTCTGAGAGGTTTTGATTCCAGGGAGAAGTGATTTCTTTTATTAACTTTTCCTCATAGTTTCAATTCTTGGGCCCCAGTCTCATCTTTTATTGCCTCATGCCTCATGTTTCCCAAGGCATTTAGATCGTTCCCCAGATACACTGGATAATATTGAAATGAGGAAACTCAAGATGGGGTTTATTTATTATTCAGCCTTTAAAACATCCTCTCTCACTGACTTTCAGGTCCATTTGTAATCTCACGCTACACTGCTAATCTCAATTCATTCCCTGCTAGTTCTTTAAGTGGAGTCCTGGTGTGGCACTGTGGGCTAATGCGCTGGAGTTCAAAGTCAGCTTAAACCGCAAGGTCGATGGTTCATGCTTACTAGCCACTCCTGGGAAACTCTATAGACAGGGTCACTATGAGTTAGACATGACTCAATGGCATTTAACACCAACAAATTCTTAGAGTGGAGTCATGATGCAACACTGTAGGATAAGCACTGAGAACTGCAAGGTCAGTTTGAGCCACAAGGTCAGCAGTTCAAACCCACCAGCTACTCCTTGGAAATCCTATACAGGGTGTCTATGAGTTGGAACCAATTCCATGACACTTAGTAGCAACAACGACAAATAAGGAGCCCTAGTGGGTACAGTAGGCTACTTATTGGGCTGCTAACTGCAAAGTCCTCTTTTTTTTTTGGAGACCCCAGCAAGATGGATTGGCCAACTGGCAGCATTAATAGGCTCAAGTATGACAATAATAGTGAGGTTGGCCCAGGATCGGGCAGTGTTTTATTCTGCTGTGCATAAATTCGCTATGAGTTGGCACCGACTCGGTCAGCAGTTCGAGTCTACTGGGTGCTTCGTGGGAGAATGATGAGATGTTCTGCTTCTGTAAAGATTTGCAGCCTCAGAAAGCATATACAGGATGAGTTGGAACCAACTTAACAGCGCAAGGCCACACCATTATTATAGAAAGGGTTGTTGTGTGTCATTGAGTCAGTGACAACTTACACTGTGTGCTGTTGCCCCATAGCAACCCTACGCCACAGATGAGAATTTCCCTAGGCATTTCTTAGGCTGTAAATTTTATGAGAGCAGATCACCAAGTCTTTTCTTCCGTGGAGTGGCGGATGGCTTTGAACAACTGAACACTTAACCACAGCGCCACCAGAGCTTCTTATCGTAAAGATCATTGTTGTTAAGTGCTGTTGAGTTAGAGCCGACTGACTCATAGCAACCCTGTCTAGGGTTTCCAAGGAGCAGCTGGTAGGTTGGAACTGCTGATCTTGTGGTTCGCAGTCCAGTGCTGATCCTACAGCACCACACTAGGAGGTGTAGCATAAATCAGACTCCAGAAGTAAGGGATTAGCGAAATCACCATCCCTGCAGTGAGCTACAGCTCAGCTGTTAACATGACATCAAGTAGGTTCTGACTCTTTGCTTCCCTGTGTGGGGTTTCTGAGGCGGTAAATCTTTGTGGGAACAGAAAGCCTAATTTTTTTCTCTCGGAGTGGGTGGTGGATCCAACCGCCGACCTTATGGTTAGAAGTCTAGTGAGTATCCTACAAAGCCACTGAATTCCTTGCAGCTTAATAAATCACGTTTTATTTGGCTGAAGGTTGAGTTTTTCAATTTTGTATTTGTTTTCGTTTTTTTAATTTTTGAGTCTGAGTGCCTTTAGCCTGGAATGCTTCTGGTCACCACTACCGTTCCCACCAGCTCTCACTCATGTCATCAGACAGGCCTTGGAATCATTTCACTTTGTAATCTCTGAAATAAATATTTGTTTGAAGGAAGCAAAGATTAATATTGGCTGTAAATACTTGCTTTAAAAAGTTTACCAGGATAAGTTTTTTACTCTTAATTCAGTTATTGAAATGGTGATTTGATGAAAACAGACAACACACGAGTAAAGACACTGGATGGCGTTAAGATGGCCAAGGATCTGGGTCCAAATACATTGTGTTTTGAGAAAACTCAAATGCACTTGAAGGAAAGAGAAAGGAATAAGAAAGACTTAAAAAGGACCATGATGGAAAAGATCCTTCAGACATCATAGTATGAATACACCTGTAGACTTCACCCCTGAGTGGCACTAGTGGCTTGTGATCAGACGCTAACTGAAAGTTTGATGGTTTAAGCCTACCTATCCAAGAGGACTTGCAATGAGGGACATTATTTCTGATGTCAGATAAATCTTGGCTGAAAGCAGACAATACCAGAAAGATGTTTATATGTGTTTTATTGGCTATATAAAGGCATTCAACTGTGTGATTCATAACAAACTATGGATATAGTTTAAGTGATCATGAGGAACCTGTATAGGAGGTAGTCATTAAGACAGAACAATGGAATACTTCATGGTTTAAAATTTGGAAAAGTGTGCATCAGATTTGTTTTCTTTAACCATATTTATTCAATCTCAAATAATCTGGGAAGCTGGACTATATAAAGGAAAACGTGGCATCAGGATTGGAAAAAGGCTCATTAACGACATGCAGTAAGCAGACGATACAGACTTGCTTGCTGAAAGTGAAGAGAACTTAAAGTACTTGCTGATGAAGATCAAAAACTATAACATTCTGTATGGATTACAACTCAATGTAAAGAAAACAGAATTTCACAACTAGACTAATAGACAATATCATGGTAAGCAGAGAAAAGTTTGAAATGGTCAAGCATTTCATTTTGCTTGGATACACAATTAAGGCTCATGGATGAAGCAGTCAAGAAATCAAAGGACATATGACATTAGACAAATGAGCTGCAAAAGACCTCTTGAAAGTGTTAAATAGCAAGATTTTTCTTTAGGGACTAAGGCATGCCTGACCCAAGCCATGGTATTTTCATTCGCCCTATATGTGTATGAAAGCTAGACAAAGAAAAAGGAAGACTGTAGAAGATTTGATGCTTTGAATTATGGTGTTGTTGAAGAATATTGAAAGTGCCGAGGATTGTCCGAAGAATGATGATAATCTGTGTTGGAATAAGAAGTATATGTTCTTGAGACAAAAGGATGATAACACTTGGTCTCATGCACTTTGGACATGTTGTCAGAAGGGACCGTTTCCTGACAGAGGACATCGTGTTTGGTAAAGTGAAGGGATGGAGATCAAAGAAGACGACCCTCAAGGAGATGGATTGGCGCAGTGGCTACAACAGTGGTCTCCGAAATAACAAGTATTGTAGGAATGGCACAGAGCCGGACAGCATTTTGTTTTGTAATACTTAGGGTTGCTATGAGTTGGAATTGACTCAATGGCACCTAACAACAGCAACAACAGTAGTACTGTGGAAGAAAGTCCTGGCAGTGTGCTTCTGTAAAGAATATTGTCAATGAGACCCTGTAATACACGGGACTTACATGAGCCTCGATCAACTTGGCAGCAAGGGGTTATGTATTAGCATTTATTAAGTGTTTATTCATGCTACCTATTTTAAGGAGAAAAGGTATTAGACAGACAGTATGCATCTAAAATTGCATTTTGGGTTTCTTTCTCTGATCTGGAATTTTACATACATATTCTCCCATGGAATCACCTACCCCATTCCTTACTTTAAACAGCATTGTTGCATGATAGTATTCTCTGTTTTGCCAACTTGTAGGTACTCCAGCCGTGATTGAAGTAACTCTGAGGCTTAGTGAGGAAGGTCTGGGACTAGCTCAGAAGTGTCAGATGAAGGGACAGGGTGCTCTCTTTTCTGTTGCAATATGTTGTCAGGAAGTGAGTGTGTCGTTAAAGTGGCTACACATCATTTAGGAGGAAATGTGGGGTGAACTATCTCAACTTAACCAAGTTGAATTGAGCTCTTTATAAAATAAAAACGGAATGGAATATTTTCATAGTAACTTCCAACTTTCTACTTACAAGCTGAAAAATGCACTCATATGGTTGTAGTGTTAAAAACTGCAGCCCACCCCCCAGCAGCCCTCTTCCTAAGCCAGTTCCCTTGTAGGCTCCAGGCCGACCCAGGAAGGCTGATGTGCTTACTTGCTGTACAAGCGGGGGAGCCCAGTGTGTTTAAAGGTTGTTAGGGTCTTCTCATCAAACCTTGCTCTCTCCAGTCCTGGGTCCTAAGTCAGACTCTTAAAGACAGGGCTCTCTCTTCATTGTCAGCTACCTCTGAATGGCATTAAAAGTAAATAAATAAGCAAATAAAATAATTTTATTTTTGTTACACAAGTTTGAAAACTCACTGTGAGAGACTTTTTTTTTTTTAATACAAGAAAGGTTGAATGACGGAAAGTCAATTTATAGATCCCACCAGTCAAAACTATCTTAATATTCTTCCTTCCTTTGAGTTTCTTATCCTACGTATGTTGTTGTTGTTGTTGTTGTTGTTAAGTGCCATGTATAGGGGCTTAAAAAAAAAGTAGTTATTATTGTTTGTTCTGTTTAATTGCATATAATACAACATTGCCCAGTTTTCGTAACCATAGTAACTATGTATTTTTATTTTACTGTCACCCTATGATTAGACTTCTAATGTGCTTCTGAGTGCTTTTTATTCCATTAACACAGAGATTAACATTTTTGTGGGAAAAGCTATTATTGAGATATTTAAAATAAGTTTCCTGGAATGAGAAAAAGTCCAAACAATAACTGGGTATAAACACTTTGCTTAATTCTTTTCAATTCTGAAATGAAACTGCTTTAAATATTGTTTAAAGTGTCACCATAATTTCATTGAAATGAAGTATTTTGGTAATTGTAGGTGCCGAACTTCTCTTTTCTTTTTCAATAGGCTTACTACGCCCGTGACGCTCTGGCTAAAAACCTCTACAGCAGACTGTTTTCATGGTTGGTAAATCGAATCAATGAAAGCATTAAGGTACTGATTCTCTGTAACAAAATAAATGGGCTGGAATAAATGGTATTTACAGTGTAAACCTTAAGTTGAAGAAAGTTTTAATTTTATGTTTAGAAAAATGATTACCATTTAGAACAATTTTTCTTTAAAATAATTTTAGCCTGTCTAGGCTTCACATTTGTCAGAGATTTGGTATATTTCATTTGCCATGTGAGCAGTTTAATGCTCTTTGTAGAGTTAACCACAGAGAGTATCCCAACCTCTGGTTCTAGCTCATTTAGCTGTAAAGGTTTGGCTGATGTGGTCACTTTCCCTCTCTAGATAAAATAGGTGCTAATACGTCCTTTCAGTAAAATGAGAGTATTGGCCTGATTGATTTTGAAAGACTCTATCTAGTGTGGCACAGTAGGATCAGCACTGAGCTGCGAACCACAAGGTCAGCAGTTCAAACCTACCAGCTGCTGCTTGGAAACCCTATACAGGATCACCATGAGTCAGGTCGAACTCTATGCACTTAATAACAAGTAGTACATATTGTAAGCTACAGAGCTCTGTTTTTACATTTTTAAGGACCATTAACAGAGTCCTGACGGAGTCTGGTGTTGTGTTGTAGGATAATGCATGGGACCAGAAGGTTGGTTTGAACCACAAGATCGGCAGTTCAAACTCACCAGCTGTTCCTCAGAAACCCTATACAGGGTCACTATGAGACCGAGCTGACTTGATGGCACTTAACAAGAACAACAGTGGCGTCCTAGGAGCTCTGGTGTGGCACTGTAGGATCAGCACTGGACTAACCATGAGATCAGCAAACCTACCAGCTGCTCCTTGGAAATCCTATACTGGGTCACTATCAGTCAGAACCGACTCAATGGCACTTAATGGCTCTGGCTGTTGCTGTTGGTAAGTGCTGTCAAATCGGTTCTGACCCATAGCTACTCTGTATAGGTTTTCCAAGGAGTGGCTGGTGAGCTTGAACTGCCAACCTTGAGGTTCAAACCGACCTTTCAGTCCGTCCAGTGCATTATCCTACAGTGCCACACCAGGACTCCAGTCTGTCTCCCATGGAGTGGCTAGTGAATTTGAATTGCTGACCTTGCTGCTGACAGCCCCACACTGTAATGGCCCTGATAACATAGTGCATTACAGCATGGGGATGCTAACTGCAAGGTCAGCAATTCAAATTCACTAGCCACTCCATGGGGCACAGATGAGGCTTTTTGCTCCCATAGCCTCTGAAATCCTATTCAGGGTCGCTGTGAATTGGAACTGACTCAGCAGCATACTACCAGTGGAGTCCTGGTGTGCCACTGTAGATTAAGCACTGGACTGCTCACTGAAGAAAGTCCATGGTTCAAACCCACCAGTCGCTCCTTAGGAGCCTTATACTACAGGGTCACTGTGAGCTGGAGCCAACTCATCCCCACTCAACAACAACAATGCCTTCTTTAAATAATTCATTTGTTGCTAAAACTTCTGGGGCATTCTATTTTAATATCTTGTCTTATAAGTTAAAAGGAGAGTTATAATTTTTTTTCTTTATAAAGTAGTACATGTTGCAATGTATAACTGTATTTCTTGGTTTGTTTTGTTTACTTTTGTTTTTCCTAACTAAATCAACCAATTAATTTGAAACTTGTTTTTAAAGGCACAAACAAAAGTGAGAAAGAAGGTCATGGGTGTTTTGGACATTTATGGCTTTGAAATTTTTGAGGTAAGTTTTGTTTTTTTTGTGGTTTTTTTTTGGGTAGCACTCTTAAGTAGTTATGAATCGGGCTGCTAATCTCAAGGTCAGCAGTTCGAAACTACTAGTGGTTCCGCGGGAGAAAGATGTGGCTTTCTGCTCTCGTAAAGATTTACAGCCTCGGAAACCCTGTACAGGGTCCCTATGAGTCACAACTGACTCCTCGGCACATAACCACCACCACCAACCACCATTAAAGTGGAACATGTGGAAATTAAATAATATGATCTATTTGCAGCAATTCTAAGAAATAATTATAACTTTGAATCTACAAATAATTTTTATGACACTGTAACAAAATTTGGGTGTATGTTTTAAGTGCTGTGTGGCATTATTTTGGAGACAGTCACATTTAAAAAGAACTTTTTGTATCCATACTTGCCAACTGAAGTCTTACTGTGAGAGTTCTATCAAGCACAGTATACCTGTAGCCATTTGTTTGTTTGGGAAGTAAGGCAGGTTGATTCTGTGAAGGCCAGGAATGGGGGACCAGATGCTCATTATGGACTGACAGTAGCTGGCTATGTCTTCTCTGACATTCAGGGATTCTGGAAGGGAGAATAATCGGGATTCGATGATTGGTTTCATACAAGGAACCCTGGTGATACAGTGACTAAGCGCTCTGCTGCTAACTGAAAAATCAATGATTTGAACAGACCAGCTGCTCCTCAGGGGAAAGATGGGGCAGTTTGCTTCTGTTAAGATTACAACCTTGAAAATCACATGGAGAGTCTCACTATGAGTCAGAATTAACTCATGAGAGTGAATTTGTCTTTGGATGTGGGTAGGGTGTTTTACAGGACTCCACTAGATGTGATCTTTCTATGTGACTTCTGCTGTGAAGTTTAAAATAATTTTCTGCTGAAGTTCACATTGAATTTTGTAAAGACTCCATGCCTGTTAACAAATCAAATATTTGAAAATTGCATGTGTATATTAAAATTTCCTGTTTAGCCCTTGCTAACTTTGGTATTTAGGAGGACCCTTTAAAAAACTTGCTCTCTCTTTTAGGAGTGGTATTTTGCTTTGTGTCAGGGAAGTAACAGATTAGTCTCTTCCTTTCTTAACCACCACCTCAAATTAATGATTTGTAAATTAAATACACCAGGCTTGCCACAGAATGACCACCCAAAGAACTACATGTTACAAAAAGTCAGATTCACAGACTCACAGAAAAAATGTAGCCTCTTCTCACCCTCAGAACATTCCCTTCGGTTAAACCAGGCTTTTCTAACAAATGCCTTTTTCTTATAACATTCACTGAGATACAGTGCAATCTCCTTGCTTAATCATGTTCACTATTAAGAACTCAGGGTGACGAATTGAGGGCTTGCTGTATATAAGTGCTGTGGAAAATGTTGTGTGTGTTGTGTAATTTATTTTTCATGACAACTTCAGAAACCAATTACTATTATTCTCATTTTATAGATGAGGAAGGTGAGACTTTGGTTCAGGAACTCTCCTCAAATTTGCATGGCACTTAGTGACAGAGTCTCAATCTAAACCCCAAGCCTCATAAAATTTTCTTTACTTTGCTACTAGGTGAGTTGAGGGTCATTTTCTAAACTTTCTTCTCAAGCCTAAAGAGTTCCCAAGATGTGTCCAAATGCTTGTAATGAGTGTGTGACTCCATGTTTCTCCCATTAAAATGGTCATCACAAGCGCTAGTCTAATGTTGGGAGTCTTCCCAGAGTCGGTCTCTGTTCTGGTGGGGGGGGCACCTGTGCCCTGAGAGCGCACCCACAACACTACTTTTCAGCAGACTCTCATTGCAGTAATGCAAAGGAAGACCCCACGTTGTTTGGGTCTGAGTAGAATTCAGGGTTAATGATACAGGAGAGTTGCTTGAGTGTACTTAATCACTGCCAAAATCAGTTTTTCTGTAGTAAGATCCATCAATAAATGGACAGAATGTCAAAATCATTCTTAACTCTTGGCAGATGAAATGGTTTCTACCTGGCACATCGCTGATCTAAATTTAAGTGGTCTTGATGAACAGGGCGGATTGTTAACAGAGATTTCATTAGAACGTTTGAAGAAAAAAGTTTTTTTTTTTTCAGTGGTATTTCTGAATCAAAGAAACCGGAACTGATTTAATTGGATGTATTTGCCTGAAAGAGATTTATTGGTCATCAAGCCAATGAGCAGGTTCTTAGTGTTATTTCACAATTCAGGGGTTGTTTTTTGTTGTATAATGGGGTTATAATGAGACTTAAGCTTAGCCTCATCTTCCAGTATTATTCCAAGGTCTAATGAGCCATGGGAAAGGAGACCCTCACTGAATTGCATACTTCTTGTGAAGTTTGACCATATATAAGTGATGGTATCTATTGAGTGACTAATATGGGCAAGATACTAGTGGTAAGCAAGACAGAGATGCTCATTGCACATAAGAATGAGAACCCAAGTTGTTTGGGTCTGAGGAAGGTCTAATCAGGAAACTGGGCTGCTTTTAAAATTTTTAAATCTTAATCACAACTGAAAAAAGTTGGATGTTCCTGGTGAAGATACATTTTCAGGGTGAACTACCCTTCTATAATCCAGGAATAGTTTTCACTTGTGGTTAATTAATGTTTCGCATCAAGTCTTTGGTTTTAACATGCCTTGTTTCTGTAGATTGTATCTTTATTCTTCTCAGTACCATTACAACTAACTTACGAAAAGACCTGTGAAGAGACGTCAGACGTTCATAGAAAAATTTCATTATCTTGAAATTCCATTTTTCTGTGCACTTTTTGATGGCCCTATGAATATTAGTTATATTTCCGGATGCTTTTGTTTTCTCTAGAGGAATACTTGAGTGAGGTTCTCAAATTTAGTTTCATGTTGGAATCACCCGAAGGAGATTTTGAACAATCAGATATTCAGGGTCTACCCCAAACCAATGAAAACAGATTCTCTGGGGTTGGGGCCCTGGCATGAGCATTTGTAAAGCGCACTGGGTGATTTCATTGTACACTCAGGCTTTACTCCAGCTGCTCTAATTAATAGACCATTTCTACTGAGTGAGCTGACAAATCCAAACATCTCTTGTCTTCATACTGTTTGGCTTCTGCACAGAATGCCATTGTGAAACATCCTGCCTCACCTCCCATTCTCTAAATGTAAAATAACTTTGAAACCTAACAGGTTAGTTTTTATTCTTTTTAAATAGCACTTCATTGTTAAATGCCTTTGAGCTGGTTCATACCATAGTGACCTGGTATAGAATTTCCAAGGAGCAGCTGCTGTGTCTGCCCCTCGACCTTGTGGTTAGCAGGCCAGTGCTTCTGTGGTAGCAAACCAGCACTTTAGTCAAGACCAAATCCACTCAGTCATGTGTTTATAGAAAAACCTTGTGTTGATCATAAAATCATTACAAGTTCATTTTGTTTCTCTATTCAGAAACTGGTTGGTGGGGATTTTTTCATGTTCTTTGAAAGATTTGTTGGTCTTTATAATTAATTGCCTCTCTAGTTTCCTGTCTCATCCTTCTCAGATTAGTCTTTCAATCATCGTCATATATAATAGCCTGTGCTCTAACTGTTTGGTAGAGGGTGGGTAAGAAGAAAGGTTTGGTTGGGTACTCTTGGATATTTTCACCTGTTCTTTGGTACAGAATTAGAAAAAAAAATTCCTCAAGATTTGTTCACAAACACACACACACATCCAGTGACATCCCACATTTTCCTAGTTTCTCAGCAAAATGAGAACACACTGAAATGCCAGGAAGCCCATAGTTTGAGTACTAGATAACCAAATAATTAAGGACTTAAAGTACCATAAGCTAAAATGCATTGTGTAAGGATGTGACTTAGAAAAATGCATTCAGAATTCACAGAAATGTAAAAATGAAAATTTCTATGGTGTTTTTCACCCAAGTGAAAAGAAACCATTAGAATAGGATACAATTCTACCTTTGATGTTAAGTGGAAAATGTTGGAAGTAAGAATTCTATCTTCAGAGATTCCCTGGGTAGTATTCTGGAATAAAGATCCAGAACTTTTTTTAATGCTATAATTCTGCCTCATGATCCACTGTCGATTCTCATGAAAGCGGTTTTCAGCTGAGCAGGTGGAAACCTTTCATTCACTCTGGTCCCTTCCCACAGTCCCATGGGAGAGGGAAGCTGGTGTATTCATTCAGTCACAAGGTGGTGAAACGTGGATGACTACAGAATATTCCCAAGCCCTCTGGGTGAATAAATTCCACCTTGCTGACTGCATGTGATCTGATGTTAGTTAGGAAAACAGATTAGCACCACACTGATACCAAACATACAATTAAATGGATTAAAATTCATAGAGGAAAAATAATTTAGCCATAAATCCTTGTAGAACCTAAATCCAACTTTCCAAAGGAAGAATGATGATCCAAACACTCCAAAACTGCACCGTTACAGATTGGACTTTCTAATAGATAGAAACATGGCTCTTGATCTCTAAGAAATATTTGTAACAGTTCCAAAACAAAACAAAACAAAAAAAAACACCCCACTATTCTTTAAAAATAAAGAAATAAATTGAAAACTAAGTTGAACAATCTAAACTGATTTCATTTATTTGTTTTAAATTCTTTTCTAGTGGGTATTAAAGTAGGTAGTTTACTGGGAGAGACGGATGCACCTAATTCATAGAAACTAAAGCATGTTGCTGTTGGTAAGTGCTGTCGCATCGGTTCTGTCTCATAGTGACCCTGTATAGAGTTCCAAGCAGTGGTTGGAAATGAGAACCACTCACCTTCCGGTTAACAGTCCAGCATCACACCAGGACTCTCCAAAATATGCTGCTGTTGTAAAGTGCCGTGCCATTGAGTTGGTCACGACTCATAACCACCTTGTACAGGATTTCTGAAGCTCATCTTTCTCTTGGGCTATGCTGCTAATGGATTCAAATTGCTGACCTTTTGGTTAACAACCCAAGTTGTAACCGTCTAAGCCACCAGAGGTCCTTCCAAACCATGATGGCAATGGATAAATATTTCCTTTTTTC